GCAAATTGGGGCATATTTATTCTGTATCCTTAAAGACTTAATGATATTTTAGAAGATGAACAAAACGTGTTATTCATTGAAGTGACTGTGTGCTGGTCTCTCAGGTATGACATTGCCCTCCTGCGTCTGACATCTGATGCTACTCTCAATAACTACGTCCAGCTCGCCGCTCTGCCTCCTGCTAACCAGGTTTTGCCTAACAACAACCCCTGCTATATCAGTGGATGGGGTCGCACCCAGAGTGAGTCTGACATAAGGATATCATGCATTTACACTATACAATAAATTATTCGGTGCAGTGCTAGCATACATGGGAAAGCAATCTGTAAGAACCATAAAGTCAAGAGAGGGTTTTTTCACCCAGATTTTTTTCAAGACACAGTTGTATTGTGAGTCTTTTTTCTGTACTGCTGTACACAGCTGGAGGTCAGATCTCCGCCCAGCTGAAGCAGGCCTCTCTGCCTGTTGTTGACCACAATACCTGCTCCAGCAGCGGATGGTGGGGGAGCACAGTGAAGACCACCATGGTTTGTGCTGGTGGCGGCAGCAATTCTGGCTGTCAGGTGAGCCAAGAACATTATGAAGTATTTTAGGCCAGAGCGATTGTTTCATGCTTTTTACTTAGCAACACTTTGTTGTTTAAAGTGTAATATCCAGGAGTGTTAAGTTGGTAATGCGTAAATAATTTATTAAGTCTTTTGAATCCGTAATAAACCATCAGCAAGAAAAATAGGTTTGCTATGTGGTTAATAACCTTTTAGGGTTGAGATGAGTTAAAATCTAGAACTTCATTATTAGCTACAAACAAAGATGAACACTGTCTTCATTCATTGTAATATTTAACAAACGTTGAACCTTGTTTTTTTAAGCTCTTTAGCAAACAGGTGTGTCAGCCCTAAAAAATGTTTGGGTATAAACAGACAGGAAGAAACGCTGGAAAGAAGTTGTTCTATTTCAGTCCCATGTCACTGTAACAGAGTGACATTTAATGTCTCCCACTGAGTTGGAAGCTGACCCCTTCCTGTCAAGGAAGATATTTTGGGGGGCACATGTGGGATTACTTGCTGCTTCAGCAGGGCATAAGTCACTTACAATAATTCAAGCAAGTGCTTAAGCTGCACAAAGTGCATGTTGTAAACTTGTGTTCTGCACAAACTTGCTTTAGGCTGACTGAGATGTTAGCTGGACATTGGAAGTTGGGAAGTAGTTAAGTGCACTGGCAAATTTGCTCTTGACTTTACCCAAAATGCATAAATGATTTTTTTTTGCTTGTCTGTGATGTAACCTTTCGAATGCAGGGTGACTCTGGTGGCCCCCTGAACTGCAGTGTTGGTGGCCAGTATGTTGTCCATGGTGTGACCAGCTTTGTGTCCTCCTCGGGCTGCAATGCCTACCAGAAGCCTACTGTCTTCACCCGCGTCTCTGCTTACATCAGCTGGATGAACAGTGTTAGTATTTTATAACCATTAATATAGATCACAGCATTTTAAAACACTGTGTTTGAGTTACTGTGTGTGGTAATGTTTTATTAGTCTTACTAATGCAGTAAATAGAAGATTTCATAGTTAATTTAATCCATTCAATTCTTACAAATATTTTTGCAGCATTTTGTGCAGGTTGATTGTTGTGGTAATCATGTAATGATTCATTTGTCCTTGCTTTGCCAGATCATGGGTTGAGAAGAGTGATCATCTCCATGGAAACACTCTGGATTCACCTCAGTTTCTTA